AAAAACTTAGGTAGGGCATTATGTGATCTAGGCACTAGCATTAATCTTATGCCATTATCAGTTTTCAAATCTTTAGGCATAGGAGAAGCTAGACCTACTACGGTTACCCTCCAACTAGCAGATAGATCTATCATAAAACCTGAGGGAAAGATAAAAGATGTTTTAGTCCAGGTGGACAAATTCATTTTCCCTGCGGACTTTATCATTCTAGATTGTGAGGCAGACTTAGAGGTTCGCATTATTTTAGGAAGACCATTTCTAGCCAATGGGGATACAGTTTTTAATGTGAGGAAGGGAGAAATTACAATGAGGGTAAATAATGAAGAAGTTAAATTTAACGTTCTAGACGCCATGAAATTACCAGGAGACTTTGAAGAGTGTTCTGCTATAACTAACTTGAATCCTGTTATGTTTGATGAGTTTTATGACTTGTTAGTTAGAGAGATTGAAAAAGAGCATGATAAGATAGCAGAAGGACCGAAAGAGGTGACTAATCCTGTTGAAAAAATACAAAAAAAAGAATGCAAGTCGTTACTTCCGTCCATAGTGGAACCCCCACTTTGGAGCAAAAGCCATTGCCGTCGCATTTGAAATATGCGTATCTAGGGGATAACGACACTTTGCCAGTTATTATAGCTTCCAATTTATCACCTACTAATGAATATTCTTTATTGCAGATTTTGGAGAAGCACAAAAAGGCCATTGGATGGACGATAGCAGAAATCCGAGGGATAAGCCCGGCCTTTTGCATGCACAAAATCTTATTGGAAGAAGATGCTAAGAACTCCATTGAGAGTCAAAGGTGGTTGAACCCGAAGATGAAAGAGGTTGTAAGGAAATAAATTTTTAAATGGCTTGACGCCGGTGTTATATACCCAATATCCGACAGCAACTGGGTAAGCCCAGTACAGTGTGTACCAAAGAAAGGGGGTATAACCGTGGTGGCCAACGAGGAGAATGAGCTCATCTCAACCCGAACTGTGAGTGGGTGGAGAGTTTGCATTGACTATCGCAAACTTAACAAGGTAACGAAGAAAGACCATTTTCCTCTACCGTTTATTGACTAGATGCTCGACCGTCTGACAGGTAAGGATTTCTATTGTTTCTTAGATGGATATTCAGGTTATAATCAAATTACTATTGCTCCAGAAGACCAGGAGAAGACAACATTTACGTGTCCGTATGGTACATTCGCTTTCAGGCGAATGCCCTTTGGATTATGCAATGCACCCGCGACTTTTCAGAGGTGTATGATGGTCATCTTCTCTGACATGGTAGAAAATATTCTAGAAGTTTTTATGGATGACTTTTCTGTTTTTGGAAATTCTTTTGACGCATGATTAGTTAATTTGGAGAGAGTATTGGAGAGATGTGAACAAACAAACCTAGTCCTAAATTGGGAGAAGTGTCATTTCATGGTACAAGAGGGTATTGTTTTGGGTCACAAAATTTCVAAGCAAGGAATAGAGGTAGACCACGCTAAGATAGACATCATTTCAAAGCTACCTCCTCCTACAAATGTCAAAGGGATTAGAAGTTTTTTAGGGCATGGGGGATTTTACCGCCGCTTTATAAAAGACTTTGCTAAAATTTCTAAACCCTTGTGTCAATTGTTAGAACATGATAGACCATTTGTTTTTTATAATGACTGTTTAAAATCATTTGAAATGTTGAAAGTTGCTATAAGTTCAGCCCCTATAATTATCGAACCTAATTAGGATTTACCTTTCGAGCTCATGTGTGATGCTAGTGATTATGCAATAGGAGCTATGTTAGGACAACGTAAAAACAAGATCTTGCATCCTGTATATTATGCTAGTAAGACTCTGACCRGTGCACAACTCAATTACACTACTACTGAAAAGGARCTGTTAGCAGTTGTGTTCGCCTTTGATAAGTCTAGGTCTTACTTGATAGGCACAAAAGTCATTGTTTTTACTGACCGTTCTGCTTTAAAATATTTATTTGCTAAAAAAGATGCGAAACCATGTTTGATACGGTGGATTTTGTTACTTCAAGAGTTTGATATTGAAGTTAGGGACAGGAAGGGTACTGAAAACCAAGTTGTTGATCACCTGTCTAGATTGGAATCCCCGCTCTGTGATGGAACTGTTACACGTGAACAGTTTATTGACGAGCAACTCTTGCGAGTTGATTCAGTTCTGTGGTATGCCGATATAGCAAATTATTTRGTAAGTCGAATAGTTCCTTATGAGTTTAACAAGCAACAGGTAAAGAAATTTCTAAATGAAGTTCGATTTTATCGTTGGGATGAACCTTTTTTATATAAGCTAGGACCTAACAATATCTTACGCAGGTGTGTAGCAGAAGAAGAGCACAAGGCGATATTAGACGCTTGTCATATGTCTCCATATGGAGGACATTTTGCAGGACACAAAACCGCAGCCAAAGTTTTGCAAAGTGGGTTCTTTTGGCCCACTCTGTTCAAAGATGCATATAAGTTTGCCCAGGTTTGTGACAAATGCCAACGGACAGGTAATATATCTAAACGCCACGAAATGCCTCAAACTCCGATCCTTGAGATTGAAATATTTGATGTGTGGGGTATAGATTTTATGGGTTCTTTTACATCTTCTAACGGTAAGCTTTATATATTGTTAGCAGTAGATTATGTTTCGAAATGGATAGAAGCCATTGCAACTGCTACCAATGATTCTAAAGTTGTCATTCGTTTTCTGCAAAAGCACATTTTTACGCGTTATGGAACCCCGCGTTGTCTGATAAGCGATGGGGGGGCTCATTTTGTGAATAGGTCTATGCAAAAGTTGCTGGCTAAATACAATGTGCGTCATAGGGTTGCAATAGCATATCATCCTCAGTCGAATGGGTTAGCCGAAATATCTAATAGGGAGATGAAAAAATATTTTAGAAAAAACTGTAAATCTTAACCGTAGGGATTGGTCTTTAAAGCTTGATGATTCACTTTGGGCATATAGGACAGCATTTAAGACTCCCCTCGGCATGTCCCCCTATAGGCTAGTCTTTGGAAAAGCATGTCATTTGCCTCTTGAGCTAGAATATAAAGCAGTTTGGGCTACTAAGAAATTAAATTTTGATTTGTCGGCTGCAGGTGAAGCGAGGACGTTACAATTGTTGGAATTAGAAGAACACAGGAAATTTTCTTATGAGAATGCTAAGCTATTTAAGGAAAAAACTAAACAGTGGCATGATAGTCGTCTTCGGCCGAACAATCTTCAAGAAGGTGATCTGGTTTTGTTATTCAATTCTAGGTTGAAACTTTTTCCTGGGAAACTTAAGTCTAGATGGTCTGGTCTCTTTAAAATTTTTCAAGTCTACCCATATGGGGCAGTGGATCTAGTTGACTCTAAGGGGAGTATTTTTAAAGTAAATGGGCAGAGACTTAAGCCATATTTTGGGGAACCAGTGGATAGAGGAAAAACCTCTATTCAACTGTTAGGACAATAAATTTTTGCGAAAAATGTTTTTTCCTTCTTATCCGTTTTGAAAGAACAAAAGTAAAGGAAGGAAGTTTTTGTATCTTACATTCTTTTTGGTTTAATCATAAAAAATTTTGCTTATTAAGAGAATGATCTTTAAAAAAAATAAAAAAAACAAATAAAAAAATAAAAAATAAAAAATAAAAAGAGAAAATTACGCAGGCGCCTGGCGCCTGCCCTTTGCGAACAAATAAATGACACAGGCGCCTGGCGCCTGCCCTATTTTCCAGCATTTCGAATTTTTTTCTTCTTTTTCCTTCGTGGTTTGGGTTTCAATTTCGAAATTTGTGGGTTTTATTTTGGGTCACACATTACTCCTTTGTGATTTAAGTTTCACATCTCTCCTTAAAACTCAAAAATACTTCAAATTTTGTTTCCCTAATCCTATTTGGAATTGAAACTTTCTTTTTTCCTTTTAGGTTTAGGAAACCTAGTTTGAACTTAAAACTCAATCCCTTTCCATTTAGGATTTAGTTTGGGGAAAGCTTTAAATAGACCCATTGCCTAAGCTTTACAACTCAACACAAACCCACACAACTCTCTTCCTCCGCTTTGTTTTTTCGAAAAAAAATACTCCCTCAACCCTTGTTTTCGATTTTCAGCCACCACCAAGAAGAAGCATAAATTTCCAGCCTTTGTTTATTTCTATGGCTTCTTCTTCTCAACACACTTCACTCCCTACTTCTCCTTTCCAAGCTCCTACACAACCTCCTATGATGGGCCCACATGGTTATGTAAATTTTCAGCCGTTACACACCCTTAATATACCTCAAAACAGTGAGTTTAGGGCTGCAAATCCTCAACAACTTCCTCCAATGATCAATCCGGGTATGTACCAACCGTTTATGTTTAACCCGATTCCATATAGCCACAGTGCGTGGGAAGGAAATAAGCTTGAAGCCACTCAGATCAACTACACCCCCAACATTGAGAATATCAGAGATGCTGTGGGAAATAAAATGTTAGTGAAGCCCTCTGCCACTTGGGATTGAACTACTCATGGCCAGGTACGACTAAAACCCGAAGATGTTTCACTAGCTGCTGCAGGATGGTTATATATAGTCAAAAACAGAATTCTGCCAACGGAGCATGATGAGCATGTCACTCAGGATAGGGCACT